TGTAGTAGATCTGTTTCTATATTTATGTTATTGGACTTCATTTTGTGTTGCCATCTGCACCAAAAGAAATTCCTTGTACATCTGGTACTTGGTTATAAAGATTCTGATTCTGAATAGATGGAAAATATCAAAAATAAATAAATTACAGCTGATTTTGTTGAATACCTCACAAATACATGCAAAGCATCCATGTCATTTTGCCTCAAAACACGGCCAAGGGCAGAGACGCCTCAAAAAGAGATTTCATGTCTGGAAGAACTTTAAATTGTCAGACAATAAGAAAAATGTGCAGTGCAAAAATTTATGATAGGTTGGTACACCATGAAGGCATAACAAGGTTGATGAATCATCTCAAATATGTAAGTGATACTTATGAGTTCCACTAGTCTGTAGTGAGAGCGATGCTAAATTGCTTTTTTTAATGCTGGAATGTCTGGAATTCCACAACTACTGGAAAGACCACAAAGGTCATTTTGTCTGTTTGAATTTTACATGCTTATTTATACCACAACAGAGAATAATTTTAAAAACAAAGATTTTTATATTGTTGAGATATGCCAGTAGAAATGTCTGAATAACAACTTTAAATGCTGAGTTTTGAAAATAATTGATTATTTAATAATTAATACTTTCAATTACTTTCAAATGTGAACAGAAAAAGCAATACATCTAAAGTAATGTTTTTGTTGCATGGTGGCAATTTTTATGTTACAGTGCAGTTAAAATCTGACTTTTTTCATGCTAAACAGCCAAACAGTCAAACTGACTGTCGCAAGAAATAAATAAAATCTTTGTATAAACTGCTTAAAATTAGCTTAACCTGTATTCATAAAACTAACATGTATTGTATATATTATTTATTTATTTTTTTAGGTATAATTGAATATTGTTTAGCGTAATCAGAATGACATTTGTTCGTAACAGATTGTTCTCCGTCAGAGTCACGTGGGCTGATGCCTGGCTAGAAGCTAGACTATGGCCGCGTCTCAAATCTCATACTCCCATACTAAAAAGTATGTCAAAAATAGTACACCACCGTTTGCAGTGCGTTCATTAGTGTAGTATGTATAGTTTGAGACACAGCCTATGTAATTTGTACAATTGATGCTGCTGCTGTTCCACGAAAAACCATGATATTTCTAATCACCCTCACATGGGGCTCAACCATCTTCAGCACCAAGTGTATATATACACCATTAACCTAAAGACCTATGTATTTTTGCTCTGTTATTCGAAGCCTCAGAATTACATATGGTCTCTTACTTCATGAATATTTATACAAACGGCAGTAGCTGGAGAGAAATAAAACCTTGGTTTACACATGCGCAGTCAGATCCCTTGTCCTTGTAGCCTACATTCTCTGATCTATTCCATTGTATAGCTGGTCTTTTATTCTATTCTGAATTGTACTTTGTAAACTATTGCAGATTCTTTTTGGATATTTTGTAAGGTAAATCAAATTAGGTGAGCAGGCTGTGGAATAATTGCTGCTAAAATAATGTCTGACATGCTGAAATAGAAGGAAGGATTAAACCTGTTTGTTGTAATGAGTTCTGGCAGTGCTGAAGGAGGAGAACACTGGCGCTGATGCTGTTGTGGTTGCTCCCAGGCACAGGAGTCTGATGGGGTGAAGTTCACTCTAGCAAGCGACCCTTTAGGCCGTGGAGCGAGAGCTGCATTCGGTGGGGTGGAAGTGATTACTGTTTCTTGTTGCCTTGCAGCTTGTCCTCTGAACCCTTAGCCTCTGTGTGACTACGCTGTATTTGAACAAGGGGGCCACAAACAAACGCAGCGCAAGCAGCTGGGCTTCAGCTTGACTATTAATATATATCATTAGTGGTGGGAATCTTTAGGCACCTCACGATTCGATTCAATTACGATTCAGAGGGCTGCGATGCGATTATAAAACGATTATCGATGCATCTCGATGCATCTTTTTTCTCTATACAGGATTTCTATCTTCCTACTGTCTGAGGGCTTGGTAGTTTTAAAGCAAAGTATTTGTAATGATCCATAATGTAAATGCATTATGGATCATTACAAATACTTTGCTTTAAATATCTAAAATATCTTTTTTTATTAATAAATCAAATGGAAGTGATGTGGCAAGTGAACTAGAAGGCTCTCATTCAGAGACGCTGCTGCCACTCATCTGCGATAAAATGCGCTGTTACCCTGAAATAAGATCCAGTGGTAATGGGTGTCCACGCAGCACGTTACAGCCATCCTTCCCATTTTCTTTGGTGTTATCACTTCGGTATTTTCGAGACTGGACGCTGAATCTCGGCTCCAAAGTGTGCAGCATAGCGCGAAAGCCCTGGTTCTCAACGACTGAGAACAGACAGCAGACAGCAGGTCACATAGCACCTAAGTCTGGCCTCGCCAGAAGCGAATGAAAAGACAGAGGTTAAGACGAACATTTGGAGGACTTATTCGCATTTATAAGCAGCGCGGTTGGTTAAATCTGCAATAAGAGACTGTCTTTCTCTGAATGAAAATGAACTCGCGTCTCTTTCGAATTTTCCCGTTCCACCTTAAATGGTGCAGCAGTTACATTCAGCGCCTAAGGCAGAATTTAAGGTGGAACGGGAAAATTAGAACGAGAAGCGAATGAGAAGCGACTTCAGCCTCGTAAAACAGCCGGACGCTGAGACATTTTACAAGAAACTCTTCTAGTTTTGAAGAAAAGTCTTCTGGCCGAGATGGGAGGAAAGAGGCTTTAGGCGAAGCTTAAAGCAGAGCAAAGTAAATCTGTGCTCTCGTTTATATTTTTAGCCCATACTAGGACATTAACACATACTGAGACATACTGGACATTAAATGTTGTGGCTCCCGAGGTGGTTTGACTTTGTTGAAAGGCAAAATGGCTCTTCTTGACATTTGGGTTGTGACTCCTGATCTAAACTGGCTTTAATGCAGAGGGAGCCGGTCAGATTTCTCACTCATCCCGTTGTGTTTTTGTTATGTGCCGCCACAGACTGTCCGGGCACTGCACTCCACTTCCAGTTCCGCCCTTTGCGTTCCGTCAACATTACGTTATAAATTAAATATTTAGAAAATCGATTTTTGACATTTATGAATCGATTCAGAATCGTTCACATCTGCATCGCGATGCATCTAAGAATCAAGTTTTTCCCGCACCCCTATATATCATTGTCCGGTTCTGGACTTTACTGCAGTAAAGAGCATATTAAAATTACAGTTAAATGTGAAACATAAATGTCATTGTTTTTAATGCTAATTCGGAAATACCAGTGGGCGTTTGAAGCCTGTAAATTGCTGTTCAGGTCAGCTTTAATTATGCGTGACAACCAGCAGTAAAAGTTGTCATGTCTCCCCCCTCTCTGGGGAGACTCACTTGGACTCACCCTGGCCCCGCCCACTCTCCTCCTCTCTCACACACCTGCAGCTCATTCTGAGGACATTAAGACTGCTACAAATACCACTGTGTTTTCATTGTGTGTTTGTAATGCCTCTGTGTTCAATATGTGAGTGCTGAGCCTGTTTCTTGTGTTTGGTTTTCACTGGTTTCACCCCTGCTACTCTCTGATTATGGATCTGCATCTTCTCTTGCCTGCTTATGTGTTGACCCCTGCCTGTTACAATAATGAGTTTTAGAATGCCCCTAATAAAGTCACTCTGCGCTTGCAACCTGCCTCAAAAGTACAAAAGAAGCCTACAGTGAAACTGCACTCAAGTGAAAGTAAGGGTACTGTGTCATCTTACTCACTTAAAAGTGGAAGTATGGAGCCAAAAATATACTTGAGTGAAAGTTAAAACGTGTCTACTTTTAAACACAAAATACAAAAGTAAAAAGTAAACATTTTAACAAATGAATTAGAGGATTTCTTTGTTTGGTGTTTTGTGCTATGGTGGCACTAGTCCTCACAAAAAGACCATAGCTATAGGCAGTTTCATTTTACACTTACCAGTTGGGTTGGATGTTTTAGTGAAACAATAAATTCAAATTTACAGAAAGTCAAAAAGAGAAAAATCTCCTAGGCTTTGAGTATTTGAAATGTAAAGTAATGAAAATGTAAAGAATTGAAGTACATTTTTTTCCTTCTTGTAAATATAATTAAGCAAATGTACAAGTAGTAATTTCAATAATGCTTGAAAAAGGTAGAAACCTTCTAAAATGATACTGAAGTACAGTCACTCAAGTGACTCAAGTCACTCTTGGCGGTAACACTCCAGTGATTTCTCTTCATGCAGCAAACATGTAGTGTTCTGAAATGCTCAGATTCATCTCTGCGGATTTCGATGTTGTGGCATTGCTGAGGAGGACTAGCATTCAAGTGTATATATACACCATTAACCTAAAGACCGATGTATTTTTGCTCTGTTATTCGAAGCCTCAGAATTACATATGGTCTCTTACTTCATGAATATTTATACAAATGGCAGTAGCTGGAGAGAAATAAAACCTTGGTTTACACATGTGCAGTCAGATCCCTTGTCCTTGTATAACCCATGCACTGAGGACAATATGTACATATGACTTTACATGTCAGATAAGAGGAATACTAATCCAGAGGGAAGGTAATTTTCCAAACACAATTCTCTAAGGTTGCTATAACAACGGCATGGCTGCCTTTCCTGAATATGCTGAGGAAGAGACAGATTCCTGGAAGGACCAGTGTTAAGTGTTCTTTTCGAAATGAAGTGCTACTTAGTGATTACGTTGCTTACTCTGTAATTAGAAAATTGGAGGTAATGTGTGGCAGAGTGTTAATAGATTGTTTGGTACCTGTTAACCGTTCTCAACACAGCTGGTGAAGGTTATTTATGGTGCATCATTGTTATTGCTGGTTACACCGATTAGTTTTGCTGTCTGCAGAGGAATGCTGAGTCTCTGTTGTCAGAGCACTGTAATTCTTGCATTTAGAAGATGTATGTTTAATACATTATTTGTCATGTTTAATAAATTGGATGTTTTTTTTTTCATGTGTACTGCATGCCATAGTGTCAAAGCAGCTCATTTTTTCTTTATTTTTCAGAGTCTTGGAGCGACTGGAAGATACGAAACCCATAAAAAGTAAGTGTTTTTTTTATTCTCCAAAGCTTTGTAAAATCCCAGAGGAAAACAGGGGGAATAAGATCCATTATTAGAAGGGTTTGGTTAATATCAACTGTGATATTATACTTCTCTCCACCAGACATTCTCTAGGGAATGTTTCAGCACTGCAGTATATGACATAATAGGAAGATTAACTTGATATAAAAACGTGTTTGTCTGTGATTGCACATTGCATGAATGAAAATAAGGCATGAGTAGGTAATAAATTATGAATAGCAGATTGTTAGGGTGGCGCTGTTAGCTCTACTTGTGTGAGGCTGCCTCTAGTACTCTCTGGTGGCCAGCAGCAGGGCTCAAAGAACAAATGTGCTTGTCAATCTTTCAGTGATAGAGTGCTTTTCATTCTTTTCATATTCTTTGCTGCTTTGTCCAGTGTGTCTCAAGTTAACAGCAGTGAACTACAGTCACAGTGGAACTATGTCTAACTCTGAGCAGGATGTCTAACTTGATTAACAGAGCCATTTAGAGGGTGCCCTCTGGGAATAGCTCTAATGTTTATCTTATCAATAAGGTTAAACCAACAATTGTCATCCAACCAACGTGCACCAAGGGATTGGTGGCCAATACGTAGTCCACAAGTAGTTCATTCTTTTCTGTGAATGAGCTTCTGTTAGCTATTATCTTAAAATAGCATAGACAGGGAGGTCAGGTTTAGCAGTCAGTGGCACACTCAGCTAGGTGAGGCAGAACCCAGACAAGAGACTTATTGCCTGATTAGGTACTAATTGGCAGTACTGTTCATCTCCTTTCACTGAGCTCCTGGAAGCTGAGCTTTGGTATCCTAGACAGCAGAAAGTGCAGGGCACTGTTGTTGCTAAAAACAATAGCAAGAAAACGTACAGTGATGGGAAACAAGTATTCAGACACTTATGTTTTTGTTATTTAATATACATGTATTGCATTTATCCAGTGTCCTCAGACAACGTGCTCAGTGACCTGCAGTTGCTTAAAAAGAGTTGCCAGATGACCTGAAGGCATCAGGAACAACAGTTACACACAGTAACTGTTACAAACAATAAGCAGTAAACAGCACCACAGTCTTCTCTGTTGCACATCTAAAATTGCACACAAACATTTACACGAATCTGAGCTCTTTTGTGGTAATGTACTCTGGTGAGACGTACCAAAAACAGAACTCTTGGGAAATAATTCTGCTTGAAGTTAAAAGAAGGAAGAATTGCAGGTATAGTCCCAAGAACACCATACTCACATTGAAGTACAGAAGTGGGAACGTCATGATATGGGGCTGCCTCTTTGAAAACGGTACTGGAGTGTTAGACATCATTGAAAGAAACGTAAATGGAGATATGTACTGGGACATATCAAGGAGGAATTTATTCTCATTGGCCAAGAAACTGAATATGGGGAGAAGATGGACGTTTCAAGAAGACAGTGACCCCAAACATACAGCCCAGTACTCCTAAAAAAGAAGATGAAAGTGCTTGCATGACCTTGCCAATCTCCTGATTCGAACCCCATGAATTTATGAAGGATTTTATAATAACTGAGAGTCTGTCAGAGGGACCCCCCTAACCTTGAGGAGTTAAAGATGGTTTGCCAAGAGGAATGGGCAGAAATAGAACCACAAAAAGCGAATTACTTTTTACTGTAGACATCTCGAAGCTGTAATTGAAATAATCATTTTAAACAGTGTTTTATGTTTACTTGGGTTATTTTTGTCTAATATTAAAAGTAGTTTGATGATCTGAAATACAGAAGTGTGACTAATATGCAAAAATAGAAGAAATTGAAAAGGGGCATCTACTTTTTCACAATGTGAATACAAAATTAAAAGACTATTTATTTGAATATAATGTGATGTATTCACTAGAAATAAATTTGATAACAAAAGCAAGTGTCTAAATACTTGTTTCTCTTCACTGTACATATGGTTTCTGGTTTTTTTTTTCATACAATTTTATTTTCATACAAAAGTATTTTAAGCATTATTTATACTTTTGATATTAGGAAAGATTCAGATGAAAAGATTCAAGTACTAGAATATACTGAGGAAGTCCCTAAGCACTTACCCTTTCATCTAGTTTTGCATATCGAGACATTGTTTTCTTACGTTTTGAGCTGACTAGCCTTGTCTGGGATTTTATTGCACTTCAGTCATATTTTTAAATGTAAATTCTCATTTTTCAGTAGCTCTATTGTGGGATAGCTTCTCACTGCCCCATCTACAAGGACCACTTCCGTAGTTCAACAAACCAGAAAAAATGTTTGTCTTAGGTCTAAACTGATGTGGCCCTCATGAAAGCACATTGCCAGCCTTAGCCTTTAATCTTTTCCTGCCACTCATCTATAGCAATGCCTTTGTTTTAAACAGCACTGAGACTGGCAGGTTAATCAGCATGATACAGTATATCGTGATTCCTTCTGTCAGTTAATGCATTCAAAAACAATAGCCCATTTATAAGAGGCAGCCCTGCCTCTCAGGGAGGCTTCTAAAAGAGGTTTGAAAGGTCCAATTGCTTGAAAAATCAAGAAACAAACATGACTAAAAAAGATAAAGCATAAAATATGTTCTCTATATACAAGCATACTCTCTTCTAAACAGTCAAAAAGAATCTAAAACCCTACTGAATACTGTTATTGAACACTGACTGCTCTGTTCCCAGACATTCCATCCCTCTGGTCCTAATGGTAGTCTTTTTTTCTGGTTTAAGCTTATCAAGTATCCCAAAACACAGTATGTACAACAAAATATGCTGTGCGAATCAAACGAAAAATGAACAGTATAGATTGAGCTAAATGTTATCTAACCTTGTCAAACCCAGTGTCTGGCATACATTCAGAGACTTGGCAGTGTCCCTTTTACTTATTCATATCTGGTTACAAAGCCTTTCTGTCCATGTTGGTCATAGTAAAATGTAGCAACATTGGAGGTTTCTGTGTGCTACCAGTTTTTCTATCACTGTGTGAAAAAGCACAGTGCTGTTTTTATTGTTGGATGCATCACAGTAGTTTCTGAGTGAGCATCTAAGCACAGTCAGAACAGAATTCAGATCACAGGTTATTATTGACTTGATCAGGGCTGGAAAAAGATGTTCTTATTTGTAAAATATTCTATTTTATTCTATATTCTATAATATTCTATTTTATTCTATATTCTTGTAAAATATTCTATTTGATTGTTTGAAAAAGGGTAATTTGTGAAACAAAATAAATAGAAATCTATGAACTTCATGCTCTTTATAGTTACTAAATGCATTACATTGGCTCTTCACATGATCAAAGGAGAAGAGTAGATTAAAAGGCCGAAATAGCTACTTTTGTGTGCGGACATTAAAGGGCTATTTACTGAAATGCGTAAACCTCAAGGTATTTCTAACGTGACCTCAGCAGAACCTTATTTGTCATTTCTTCAATGAGAAGAGACCCATTGTATCTTGGTTTTTTCATTGATTTAATATCTAAAAAACGAACGCTTGCGAAAACGAGGCCAGGAAATGCAGTAGACTGATGACGGATACAAGCTGACAGGAGAGATTTGAAGTAACAAGGTTTATTGATAAATAAAAGCAGAATGCAAGAGCAGACAGGAATGTCTCTTGTCATTTTGGTCACTTTCGCTACATTATGACCAATGCCAGAAAACATGGTCACAGAATATTGTTTTTTGGAATTCTAATATAGCCCTGGCTTTCATATATAAATCCACTTCTAAACCTTTATCTTTGTCTTTATGATCGCATCTTCTCATGTCTGCTTGTAGCATCTTTAAAGCATTTCATTGCCTGCGTGCATGTTTGTTTTGGTGAAAGCCTGTTTTCAGATACAGGTTTAATGGCACTGCAGAGGCAAGCAGCTTTGAACACTTTCCCCCATAGTGACAGACAGCAGTGCCTGCAGCCTGACGAGCCCATGATAGCCTTTAAGAAATATGGCACTAGTGGTGTTGCCATGGAGATCAACTCAATGGAAGCTGCATTTAAACCTCAGGAAGACATAATCAAGTTCTTTGGCTTTCATTCCAGCGCAGTGCGCTACAAAGGTGTGCAGTTGAGAGAAATCGTTCAGATCAAAACTAAGTTTAGACAACAGAGAGTAATGGCGGAATCAGAAAGCACTTTCCTTCTTTACCTGGCTGCCGTTATGATTTACACATTTTATTGGTTTGATTATTTGCTGAAAACACTTTTGTACATCAGAGCATTTCAAATTAAAGTGTAAAGAATCAGAAAAGATTTTGGTTGCTGTTTGGACTATGAGGACAAAATATATTTTAGACTGAATGTGTGGGGGGAAAAAAAACTTATTCTGCAGTCTAAACTGTCCAGTTGTTGGGGTCTTTTGTCAGTGTGGTGTATTTTGGTTGTATAAGCTTTGCCGTCAGATTGGTCCCTTTTTCATGGTTTAATTTACCTGAAGTTATCTTACAATTAATGTTTGGGGTTAAGGGTAATTTAAAAGAAAAATACATTTAGTCACCATTATCTGTTTCCGTTTTAGAATATAGATTGCATGTGCATCAACATGTCTGGTTTATTCCTGACCCTTGCTACAGACTACAAAGTTTAAGTGTTTTCTTCTTGTTTTCATGATAAACATTGTTGGAAGTGGTCTTTTCACATACAGGATATATAAATGCTATATTATGATTAATATCACCTTTGTTGGAGAAATAAAAATGTGTTTCCCATTATATGTCAACTTCTATTCTTTTCAAAAATGTATTAATTCCAAAATGGTTACAAAAGAATATACAGCATTTTGGAACAAAACTCACTTAGTACTAGAAATGTTAGAATAAACAAAGCTTGCACTTGCTCCCAATTTTTAAAAAAATGATTTTCTATCAACATGTGCAACAAAAATGTAGTTCTTTCTGCCTGTACATTTGTTTTTTCCATATTCTTGTGAATCATATACAGTGAAAATGAATAGTTGCAGCTGTAACCTGTGGTTAACCAATGTGCTTGCTAATTGCATTTTCTTTTTTTTAATGGTAG